AAATATCCGGGCACCACCCCTGTGGCCCAGTCAAGTTGACACGTAAAATGAGCCATCGCGGCTGGAGTGGAATGAGCAAAAGAGAGAAGATAAGGGATGTGACCAGAGAGGATGGACAGGAAGGTCTTTGGCTTCTACTCTGAGTGAGACGGGAGCCAGTGAGGGTTTTGAGCAGAGGAGGGACATGATATGACATGGATTTTCACAGGATCCCTCTGGCTGCTGTATGGAGAACAGACAGAAGAGCTTGATAAGCGAGGAGGCCATGGTAGAAGCAATGGAGGTGGCAGAAGGGCAAGGTTGATGGATACATCTGAAGGAGTTACTAGTGGACTAGATTTGGGGGTGAGAGAAAGAGAGGGGCCAAAGATGCTCTGGGACTCTGTTGGAGTTGTATTTACTGAAGTCAGGAAAACTGTGGGAAAAGCTGGTTTGGGGCAGAGGATCAGGATTTTAGTTTTGAGCATATTAAGTTTGAGATGTCTATTAAATATACAGTTGGTGATGTCAAGTAGACAGTTTGAAGCTATGGTGTGAGCTTGAGGCTGAAAGAGACATTAATGTATGTAGAGTAGTTAATTCCTTGCGAGGAGATGATTTCCTCAGGAGTGAGTAGAGATGGAAAAGGAGAAAAGGAGACCGAGAAGATGGGGAGGGACCCACGGAGGAGCCTGAGAAGAAGCAGCAAGAAAATTAGACGGAGAACGAAGAGAGGGGCCTGGAGTGTCCTGGAAGCAGGAGAAGTGATCACCTGTGTCAGTGCTGCCAAGAGGACAAGTAAAAGGAGGACCGAGAATTGACCACTGGATTTAGCAACATGGAGGTCTTTGGTGACCTTAACGAGGGTAAACCGTGCAGAATAGTTGGGTCAAAAGCTTATCTAGAGGGGTTAAGAGATAGTGGAGAAGCGGAATTGAAAAGGAAAAGTACAGATAACTTTTAAGTGGTCACTTTCTCCTTCTGCTTTATTAAAGTCACCAACAGTGAATGTGTCCTGTTTTTCAAAAAGAGTAAGAAATTGGATTTATTTATTCATTTCTTCCTTTTATGTTTTAAACTTCATTTCAGTTTTAATTTATCAGGTGCTTTCCTATGCCTTCCTTCGGTATTTTGCCTTTTTTTCCCTAATTTTTGAGCTGGATAGCTAATTCATATTCTCTTATTTATTAATATAAATATTTAAAGCTATAAATTTTCCTCTGAGCATTGCTTTGGCTGCATCTCACAAGTTCTGAAATGTAATCTTTTTATTTTCATTATTGTCTAGATATTCTGCAACTTTGATTTTTTGCTCTATCTTTGACACAAGAGTTAGTTTAAAGCATTTTTAAACTTCTTGGGTTTTGTTTTGTGGTTTTGTTATTAACATTTTCAAATTCTAGTGTATTGTGATCAGAGAATGTTGTCTTACATCTACTTTTTGGAATTTAATTTCTCTGTGGCCTGATAATTGCTTTTTGTGTGTGTATTTTCAAGAGCATTTGAACAGAAGGAAGATTCTGTTTAATACACACACATAGGGCTTCCCTGGTGGCGCAGTGGTTAAGAATCTGCCTGCTAATGCAGGGGACACAGGTTCCAGCCCTGGTCCAGGAAGATCCCACGTGCCGCAGAGCAACTAAGCCCATGCGCCACAACTACTGGGCCTGCACTCTAGAGCCCACAAGCCACAACTACTGAAGCCCATGTGCCTAGAGCCCATGCTCCACAACAAAGAGAAGCCACCGCAACGAGAAGCCCACGCACTGCAGCAAAGAGTAGCCCCGGCTCGCCACAACTAGAGAGAACCCATGAGCAGCAATGAAGACCCAATGCAGCCAAAAATAAATAAATTTTAAAACACACACACACACATACTATGTTATTAATTAGGTTATTTGGCTCTCTACACCTTATTTATGTTTTTGTCAACTTAATCTGTGAGGGACTGAGAGAGGTGAATTAAAATGCACCAATACTAACATACTCTGTCTTTTTCTTCCTACATTTTCAGATTTCTTGCTCTATGAATGTTGAGGCTATGTTATTTGGTGCAAAGACACTCATTACTTTAAGTCCTCATGGTGACTCTCATCCTTGACCCCCACACAATGCCTTCTTTTTCTCATTCTCTATTTCTTCAGTTTTGTCTAACATTCAGATCAAGACCCCCCTGCTTTCTCTTGGTTTGCACTTGTTTTGTTTCTGCCCATTCTTTCTTGTGTAACTGTGGCAAAACACATAACAAAATTTACCCTTTTAACCACTGTACCGTTCAGTGGCATTAAGTACATTCACACTGCTGTACAGCCATCACTACCGTCCATCTCCAAAACTTTTGCATCATCTACTCATCTTATTATCTGAAACCTTTCTGAATTATTCTACCTTCAGTGGATTTTGCTTGTAACCCAGTCTGTCTTTTTTTTTTTTTTTCAGCAAGTGTGTATGGCTCATTAACGTTTACTAATATGGCAGCTACATTTAGTCTTAGTTCTGTCATCATAGTTTATGACATGCTTTCTGCTTTTATAGCTTTTGTGGGGGGTGTCAATTTTCACCATATGGCCTCTGTTTTCTTTGTTTTCTTTTTCGTGTATGTATCTTCTGACAGTTTGGAAAGCTATGTTTTTCATCCCATAGTCATCTTCATAATTATACTGTCATATGATTCCCTTAATTCTCTATTTCTTTAGACAATGTTTATTTTCTCTCTACTATGAATGATGCCCAAATTAAAACATATCTCCTCTCCCTCCCCTTCTCTCACTTCCATCAAATGATTTTAGTTGATTATATTATATTAATTTTTCCATTTACCTTTGTACCTCTAATGCTATTTCCATCTCTAACTGATCTTTTTGGACTCCCAACTATAAGCAAGTAAGACATAGCTTACATATGTTACCTCCCTCTTTCTGACCTCCACCTTCCCTACTATAGTTTATATTGGTTCTCTGTTTTCTGTTTTGTTCTTTTCTGTAACTGTCACAATACATTAGTTTCAGACATAGTCCTACAGTTAAATAGATTCTCATTGCCAGTAATCTTGCCAGAGTTGCTCTATTTACCCTTCGTTATCCTAAGGTACAGGATATTATCCTTTATTATCCTCTATGTATCCGCTGTTAATTTATGCAAGAAGGACTCATGGGAGCTATAATTCAAAAATGTGTTTTGAAAAGTTTTTCTTTTGACTTTATCCTTAAAATCGGGTACATCTGGGCTTTCAATTCTTGCTTCATTCATTCATTCAACAAAGACTTATTATGTGTACCAGTTACTGCTCCAGACCCTGGCAATGCAAAAATGATCACAACACACAAATACCTTGACCCTCATGTAGCTTATTTTCTAGTTGGGAGAGACAAACAATAAGCTAGAACAGGGCTTCCCTGGTGGCGCAGTGCTTGAGAGTCCGCCTGCCGATGAAGGGGACACGGGTTCGTGCCCCGGTCCAGGAAGAACCCACATGCCGTGGAGCGGCTGGGCCCGTGAGCCACGGCCGCTGAGCCTGCGTGTCCGGAGCCTGTGCTCCACAATGGGAGAGGCCACAACAGTGAGAGGCCCACGTATCGCAAAAAAAGAAAAAAGAAAAAAAGCTAGACCAGTAAGTGAAATATTTAGTATACTGGATGGAGAATGATAAAGCAGGTGATGGGGGACCACAGAATCTGTCACCCAGAGCCCAGTGATGCAGAATGGGGTGTTGACTCTGCCATTTGGAGTATCTAGCCCTCTGGAAAGATGGACTTTGTTGGCTTAACCCCTCCATTAACTTCCCCCCTTGCCCCTGGAACACACTGGAGTCTGGTGGAAGATGGTTTATCTGTTAGTAGCTGTAATCAGATACAAGTTGCAGAAACCCAGCTACAATGGTGGAGGTGGACAATCTGGGGCTGCCACCAGAACCAGGTTTCTGCCTGCTTCCCACTCCAGCCACATTAGTGAAGGTCCTTTGTTCTCATGCTCTTCCTCTGGATCCATGTCCCCTTACCAGTAGACTTCCAATTGCATAACATTGGCCAGAGTGGGTATGTGACCACTCCGGTCTGCAAGGGAGTATGGGAAGGTGAATATTTGTGACTGGGTAACTACCCCTATAAATGGCTATAGGACAGGTGATTCACTGTGTCTGCCAGAGATGGAGTTTGTATTTCTGTTCCTCATTATCCTTGTTTGGAGGTGATCTCAAGAGAAGAAAGAACAAAGGCAACTCAACTCTGCCAATCAAAGCTGTAAGTGCCCCGTGGGCTGGTGTTTACAGTCTTGACCTTATCCCAGTGATCTCGTGACCTGTCCATGTGCCAGGAGTGTCCTGGTTTCCTCTCTATGGTTTTGTATGATATGGTCCTATCCAGTGGTGTGCCACCAAGATTTACAATGGTTCTTTTTATTATTATGAGTGTTACCTGTATCTGTTCTTAATATTTTCTAGTTTGTTGCAACAAGGGTGACCATCTGGTTTATCATCCAAAGTAGAATACTTTTGAGGCTGAAAGGGGAACAATATTAAAAATTATGTCAGAACAATAAGTATTAACTGGGACTATCCTAAGCCAAGACATATAATCACCCTGGTAACCATTGAGGTAAAAAAACACTGTTGGTTTTATAAGTTGATCTGGTTTTGTCTTACAGATTGGAAATTGTATCTTTGTATCTGCACTCTCTGTTCTAATAATTAGCCTGTTGATTCTCTTGGGTTTTCTATATACATGATCTGCCAATAATGGTAATTAGGGTTCTTCTAGCCCACTCCTGACACGCTATGCTCTTTTCTTGTCTTATTGCTTAGGCCAGGGGCACTAGTGCTGTATGAAACCATAGTGATAGCAGGCCTGCTTGTCTTGCTTCCAGCCTTAAAGTCAAACAGGTCTCAATATCTGGAAGACAAAAAAATGTCATGTGCTCAGAGGAAAACCTGGCTTCTCCTGGAACTGAGGCCAGAGAGAAATGTCCCCAGTGCATCCCCATGGAGGAGACACCATGTGATATTTTGTTCCCTTCTGCTTCCCTAGAAAACCCTTTTGCCGTGCCTCAGGATGGGGGAGGTGAGACCCAAAGCACCTGGCTCAGCCTCCAAGAAGTACCACTTCAAGACGCCAGGGAGAGCCAAGACGGCCGCGGTGGTGGTAGAGGAGAAAACGCTGCCTGTGCCCGAACCCTTCCTCGGACTTCTAACACTACGAGCAAACTCAGGGGTGGGGGCCGGGC